CAACCACCAGCACACTGAGTTATAGAGTGGCTATCATGATGTCCCCAACAGCATCAAAGCCCCTTCCTCATGCAGTGAGAACCAATCTCCTCATGCAGGATCATCACAGCAAGGTTCAACTCAAAAGGAAGGAAGGAAGGTCACAAGCATACAATGTTATGCACCTACAAATAATGCAGATCAGGAGAAAAAGGAGGAATTCTACAGACAACTTCAATCAACACTGAACAACCTCAGTCGTCGATATCAAAATTCTAATGGGCGACATGAATGCCAAACTGGGAGCAGACAACACAGGAAGAGAACTAACCATGGGTCGAGAAGCGCTAGGTGAAATGAATGAGAATAGAGAATTGTTTGCAGAATTCTGTGCATTCAACGATTTGGTGATTGCAGTGAGGCAGTGTATTCGAGCACAAGGATATCCACAAAGCAACATGGATTTCACCAGACACCAGGACACACTAAAAATCAGATCGATTTTATGTCAATCTCAAGAAAGTGGAGACGCAGTCTACTTGACACAAGGTCAAGAAGGGGAGCAGATGTAGGTTCAGACCACTCACTGTCTAGTGCAAGGAACCTTCCGAATCAAGTTGAAAGCCTTCGAGGAAGTTGGTGATAGACCACAGTCCAAGTTCAACACTCGGAAACTGAAAGACGAAACTACAAAGGACATCTTCACGGCAGCCACCAAGACAAAATGGAAGATATCGAGCAACATCCCTGAAGAAACCTGTGTGGAAGAACACTGGAAGTCTTTGAAAGAGATGTGGAAAGAAACCTGCACAGCCGTATTAGGAAGGAAGAAGAAAGAAGATAAGGAATGGAATGGATCTCGATGGATACGTGGAAGCTGATAGATGAGGGAGAGGAGGATGGTGAAGCAGAAGACAAACCAGTGCAAGGATGCTCAACGACAAGAGGAACTGAGCACAATGTATGAAACACTGAACAAAGAAGTGAAGAGTGCACGAAAAGACAAAAGACACTTCCGTGACACACTTGCAAGTGAAGCAGAACAGGCTGCCGGCTGGTAGGAGAGACCTGACATCATTGTATCAAATAACCAGGCTACTCTATCTGCGAAGAGAGCAACGCAGACGAAAGCAATAAAAGGTGATGACGGAAATTTAATTACGAACGAATAGAAAAAAAGGAAACGATGGGTCGACCACTTCAAGAAGCTCTTGAATCGACCACCACCTGCACTTCGTCCAGAAATACCACCTGCAGCCCAGCTGCTGAACTACAAGTGAACATAAATCCTCCAACAAAAATAGAAGTCCTGAACGCCATAAAGCTACTGAAATGCGGGAAAGCAGCAGGACCAGATGGGATCCCGCCAGAAGCACTGAAAACACGCAGAGACAACAGCGGACATGCTCATACCACTACTGCAGAAGGTGTGGAAGGAAGAGAAGGTACCTGCTGGTTGATTGGAAGAAGAGTTACCTTGTCAAACTGCCGAAGAAGGGAGACCTAAGTCTTTGCAAGAACTGGTGCGGAATCACTCTCCTGTCCACCCACAGCAAGCAAAATATTAAGCCGCATCATCCTGGAGAGGCTAAAGGATGGGCTGGATTCAAAACTACGACCAGAACAGGCTGGCTGGCTTCAGGAAGTACAAATCATGTGTGGACCAAATTGCAACGCTTCGCATCATCATAGAACAGAGTATAGAATGGCAATCAGCTCTCTACGTCGACTTCATCCACTTTGAGAAGGCCTTTGATAGCGTCGACCGAGAGGTAATTTGGAAACTGCTTCATTACTACGGAATACCGCAAACCTTTATCAGCCTCATTCAACAACTATATGAAGACGCCATATGCCAGCCAAGTAATTCACAATGGGAAGCTCAGTGATGCTTTTAAAGTGAAGACAGGAGTGAAACAAGGTTGCCCACTATTCCCCACGACATTCCTGATAGTGGTCGACTGGATCATGCAGCAAACAGTGGGGAGCGAGAAGAGGGGGATACGCTGGACTGCGGAAAAGAACCTAGAAGATCTGGATTTCGCCGATGACCTGTGTCTGATGTCACACAAACTTGATGATCTACAGGCGAAAACTAACAAGTTGGCAGAAGAGACAGCGAAGACGGGACTTCAAGTGAACATAGAGAAAACAGGTGATGAAGATACCACACCAACAACTCCAACAACAACAAACTCCAATCACCATCAATGGGAGAAACTTAAAGGAAGTAGCCTCCTTCACGCATCTAGGGAGCACTGTTTCAACTACAGGTGGCACAGACGAGGATTTCAAAGCCAGTCAGGATCGGGAAAACAAGACAGGCGTTCATTAACCTGGAACCAGTGTGGAGATCTTCTGCACTCAGCATGTGGAACAAGATCCGGATTTTCAACAACAACATCAAGTCAGTGCTTCTGTATGGTTCAGAGACTTGGCGCGTTACGAAAGGGATTTCTAATAAACTACAGACATTTATCAACAACTGCCGTCTACGCTCACTCGATACTGAAGATCAGATGGCCAGAAAAAATAAGCAACAAGGAGCTCTGGGAACGAACCAACTAAGAACCTATCACCCAACAAATATGCAGAAGGAAGTGAAGATGGATTGAACTAGGCATACACTGAGAAGGCCGACTGGGGACATCACGCGCCAGGCCAGGTTGTCGAGTGGAACCCTCATGGGAAGCGACGAGTTGGACGTCTGAGGGTGACATGGAGGAGATCGTGCGAGGAGGAAATGAGAGCTTGTGGGCTGTCGTGGAGGCAGGTCCAAAAGATTTGAGAGGACAGAGTTCACTGGAGACGTGCTATTGAAGCTCTATGTTCCATTAGGAACCCAAGGGACTAATATTAAGATATCTATCTGTCAAAGACGAGTATTCTGCACCGCACACCGTTCTGTCCTGTTGTACAGCTGTGAGGCACAAGCGTTAAAGGTAGAAGATACGAAGCGATTAGTGGGTTTTGCTCACAGGTATTCGCAGATCTGCTGGTGTTTAGTAGAATCACTGTGAAGCAGTGTTGAAGTCAGGCGAAGGGTACTAGACAAGACAGGCAAGTCGATTGGTGAGGTTGCTAAGCTTCGCGTTGTGAGATGACTTGGACACGTACTGTGCATTCCGAACCACCACCTACCTCGATGTGCCATACTAGGGGAAGTTGGATTAGGTGGGAACAGAGTTAAGGGTGGCCAGACGAAGATGCTGCACAAGCCGATGAAATTTTTGACTGTTCGCCCCAACCATGTGGGGAGATGTAAACTGTCTCATTGGGGTTCCTGAGACGATAGGAATCACTGAAGGAGTACATTTAGTGACATGATTGAAAATCGACCACAATGCCGCGTATGCATTCAGTCGTTAACTACTTCTGAAGCTTCAATATGCGCAATATGTTTTATTTTCATATGACTTATGCTCTCACATAACTTTATCCACTTTGATACCCCTTTTTTCGTATCCAACCGTTCTTTGTGCACGACTGTGAAGTGTGATAACTAGAGCAGATCCACGCTTTTGCGAAATCCTACGTTAGCTTTGTCAGTCATAAAGCCTTAGTCTAACCACCCTCAGTCCAACTCCAACCTAATCCAACTTGTGCAAGCATTGCACGTTGTGGTAGGTGGTGGTGGCTTGGCATGCACAACACCTCGGTCGACGAAGGTTCACACACCTTGTCAACCGACTTGTTTATCTTGTCTAGTACTCTTCACTAAACCTCTTCATTGGTAGGATGGTGGTTCCACTGCACCCTAGTAGTGCTATGAAGACAACTGTGACCAAAAACCTGTAACATCTTTATATCTTCACTCAACGTCCACGTCTCAGCCGTATAATAGGAGGGAACGGACTTCAGTGCAGTAAACTCGTCTCTTAATGTTAGTCATCTCGACACTACAAGGGATTATGCACGTTGGAAAATGATAATCGATCTTTCAGGGTCAATGCAAATCCTAAAGTATTTGAAGTGGCCAATGCATTCAGTATCTTCACTTCTTGTCCTTGAACTAGAAGTCAGTGATGACCAGTTATGAAGCATCACCCCAGATTTGGAAAGTTTAAAATGAATGGCAAACATATTTAGACTTTAGCTGAAGGTGTTCATGAAACCTTGCATTTTGTCAGCATCTTCGCCTAACAGGACAATGTCGTCTTCATAATTCAAGTCAACCAGGTTCCCTTCCAGGGGTAAATCGATCCCTATTAAGTCGGATGTAAAGTTTAATCGTTGGATAACCATGGATCTTAGTCACGACTTTAGTTAAACTGATTTTCTTATGATTGTCGCAGATTGGCTCCTTTCCAGTTTTTATAGACTAGACTAATTAATGATCTAGACCAGCGAGCTAAAGTCGAAGTCAAGATTGTGTGGAACTAAACCAGTACGTTGTGGATAGTAAATAAGCATCATACATTAATGTCATGGTTACTCATTGGCTTACGATAGCTGCGGAAATTCCAAATATTTCTATACCATTTGGTTATAACAGGTTTAGAGTCATTGGCACGATTAGTAAGAACATGCTTTGAAACTCAAGATTTAAGATGAACATTATGTATAATATTCCCGATATACCTTTTCTAAATGAAGCCGTTATTATCAATTATCACGGATAAGAGTTCAAAGATTAGAAGCAGATAACTACCGAAAACAGTACTTAAAACCCTTTTCGCGAGTTTGGTCGTTATTGTAAAGCCAATACTACAGGCACACCTACCCACAGGTTTCATTTTAGTTTTCCACTCGATTTAGAAAGAAAAACTGCTTTAAAATAAACTGAGATTGAAGTGGCGAAACCAGTTCTTGATGCCTTAGCAACAAAACCTATCAGCAACTTATTCTATATTTTGGATGATGCAATGTAACATATGTGAGAAACAAACATTGAATCAGGTAGTTCCATATGACCCACACAATACAGCTTTCTTTCAGCACTTAGTGCTATTATATTTATCCCATTCTATCCAAATTCAAATCATAATACAGAAAATAATTACAAAAAAACATAGTCTTACCAGTTGCACAGTAGCTTCTTAGCATATACAACTTACAAACAAAAGGTACAAGTTGCTTGACACCAAATGTAATTATGACTTCTTGCCATTGAGATAGTGTCGACTTTCCTCACTTTGATCTGTCAGTGTGATATTACATTTGAAGACCAAAATGCGCTACACTTAAATCTCGTTAAGTGCTCTCTTTTGTTTTGTGTAAAGGTACTTCTAAAGCCTTCAGCATATGGAAACTAGCACTGAGACGACTTTTAAATCGGATGTTGTGTCGGTAAACTTGGTAATGGAATCGAGTCAACTATTGAAGTACCAAACTTTATGAAAATGGCGGGAGAAAGACTGGTGAAGAAAATTGATACTGTGTATGATAAGGGTTATGTGCTTCATCTTGGTTCTTCTAGGAATGACCTGCATTAAGAGCTATACGGTAGAATTAAATCAACTCTAACTTCAGTGGTTTTGTGACCAAGTTTCTGGAAAGTACTACTTGGTTTCAACACGAACGTTATCCTAGGCTCCGACTACTATCTGTAGCTCGCCATTGGCACGACTGTTCAATTTATTCAGCCTTCTGTCCTCTTCACAGACAAGTCCCCAAAACATGTTTTTCTTGTTCTACACATACTCAAGAGGAACTTACCGCTAGAGTTGATGGTTGAGTTGGTAGGA